CAGGGCGGGGGCGCGGCCTTATGCGTCACGCGGCGCGCCACCTTGTGCGCGAGGGGCGCGTACTGCGTCATCGGAGTGCGCCGGGGCGGGGCCGCTCCCCAGCCCGCAAGCGGAAGCAGGTGCTTGCCTCCGCCCCGCGGGGGGGAGAGCGGTGTTCTCTGTCCAGCCCCGGGGGCGGTGCTAGTTTGGGCCCTGGACAGCTGCAGCTGGCGCGTCCTGACAGCTCCTCGGAACAGGCTGGGCTGTTGCAGGTCTTCCAGACACAAGCACCGCGGCGTGTTTAACCTGCCCGTGGCACCAGGGGTGCCAACTATATGGGGCCCTGGTTCCCCTCGGGACAAGGGCTGTCACCTAAAATGTGTAAAACATTACACATGTCCATCAACTTAGTTCCCCAACACCCTGCCCCTGTAAAAATACAAGTGGCACCCCTGAGTGGCACCCCTGGAAGGATCTTCTTTAACCCCTCTTGAGAATCACTGCTGGCACCTGTGGGAGCTGGAGCTGTATGTCCCTTTATAGAGAATATTTGTCACCAGGGAATTGCAGATGCAAAGCATAGGCTGGTAGCCTGACACTGACGTGGTGTAGAAATGGTGCCTTGTACAGGCATTCGGCACATGTGGTTTGCACCATTTGTGACTTGGCTGCAGAGAAGAGTATGAAAATTTTCCATAGAAAAAAGTCATACTCTAAATGTTATCATAGTTGTGGCTAGTCATCTTCATGACTAGCTGTCATTGGGCGTGTCTACATGTGTTAATGCATATTAGTCTATTTTAGCATTAAAGTGTCAGAGAAAAAACACGTTCTTTTGCTAATGAGCATTTAAATAGACTAATGCAAATGCACATTTTTCTAGTACTTCATAATGGAGGTACTAGATTTAATGTGTGTTACCTAAAGCGCATTAATGAACGTGTAGACGTGCCCAGTGGGTAGTAACTGTTATGCTTTGGAAAGGAGAATGAACTGCAGCCTCTGCTTTTGTATTTCAGGTATTGAAAACCTCCCCTGTGAACTGCAAAGAAACTTTCAGTTGATGCGTGAATTGGATCAGAGAACAGAAGGTGTGTTCAGGTATTCCCATAAACAGAATAAATAACCTTCATCTGAAGGAAAAAAACCCAAATCTGTGTGGGGTGGAGGGCAGGGTGGGCTTGCCTTGGAGGGGAAAAACATGGAAGAATGAAGTCTTAATACTGGAAAAGGATGCATCTGTGCAGTAAAGGTACAGATGCCAACACGTTCATACAGTAGAAGTATGAACTGTATTCTCTAGAGAGAACTTTACTTTCCAAAGGAATCGTTTTCAAGCATCAGGCAACAAATCAAGCCAGTAAATGTTTATAATAGTCATGTGTAGTCAAATTGTCTTATATTAAAGCAACAGTAGAAGTGTATAATTTCAGATGGCTGGAGAGATTTTATTTCTTAATTTTTTGGTTTTATTACTCCATAACATTTTACTTCTATGATAGATACAGTGGCAATATTAAGCTTTCAGGAGTAACATATTAATAGTTGCTTATCGTATCCGTCTCTATAATGTTTATCAAGACTCCCTTTGTCATGTGATACCCTCCATGCCCATGATGTGCTTGGGAGATAAAAATTAGGAGGCATTACTTCCTACTCACCCTTGTACGTTACAGATTGTGAGGGGCTCTGAGACTTTGGCACTAGGAACTATGTAAGTACTAGAGAGAAACAGAGAAAATGTATTGCACGTGTGCAGTCAGATTTTTTTATACATGATGTCTATTTGCTTTGCAGATAAGAAAGCCGAAATTGACAGTCTTGCAGCAGAATACATTGCATCAGTGAAGAGCATGTTGCCGGAGCAGCGAGTAGAGCACATCAAGAAGATTCAGAATGCTTACAGCAAATGTAAAGAGTATAGTGATGACAAAGTGCAGCTGGCCATGCAGACCTACGAGATGGTGAGAATTAAGTAACTGCGTGCTGTGATTGCATGTGAGAGACTTGCAAAAGAGATCTGGCTGCGAGGGGGCTGTAAGTTTGTTTTTATAATAGGTTCTACCTACCCCTGGAAGCACTCAGTTGAACTGTGCCAGGCACAGTGAGGGGGAAGCAGCCATTAAAGGGTTGGCATTAGAAGCCTTGAAAATGACAGGATCATGACTATTTTCTCTCCTGATTTTCAAGGTTCCTAATAGCATCCTTGACATTGACTACTAGAAGCTTTGAAATTGAAAGGACCTTGTCAGTTCCAGGCTGTTAATACCATAGCACTGTGTACTTACTGTGCACTGCTTGCTTACATTGGGTTTGGATAAGTGCATTTTACATAGTGGAAAAACAGCCCTGTTCAGTCTCAAGGGTATGTACTGTCGGGGCCGAGGGGCTGTGGCCAGCAGCCTGGGCATGTGGGCCGGGGAAAAGGTCGGCATGGCGAACTAGAATTAGGTACTGATGCGTAGAGGTTGATTAAAGATCGTTTTACTTACACCGTAGGTGGTCGCGGTGCAGGCAGGAAAAACTTTCTTGAGTTGCAGTTACAGACAAACACAAGCAGAGTTTGCTAGGCTCCACCGAAGACACACGAGCGGAGTTTGCTAGGCTCCGCTAAACGAACACAAACAGAGCTCTGGATACCACTCACGGAGTTTGCTAGGCTCCGTGGAACGACCGAAATGAGAGTCCAAAAGGTGACTCTCCACGAGCGCGCAGGGTAGGGTACGTCGAGGGATCGTGCAGCGACGGGGAGAGGCTAGAGGTTGATCAGGCCCCTGTATCCTCCTCTAAGGCACACGCGGAGTTTGTTAGGCTCCACAGCGCTCTTAGAGTTCTTCACGAGATGGATGTGAAGTCCTCCAACTTGGGCGGAAACTGCTCAAGCCTCTTATACGGCTAGCAAGCCAATCGCTAGCCGCCACGTGGGAATAATTTAGAAACAGCCAATAGTGGGAAACAAATTTACATACGGGTGGCGGGAACTCCTTTGCACTGGGGTTTTCTCTATGCAACTGAGAATTGCACCCTGCAAAGAAAGCTCCATGTGGCGGGAAATAATTCTGCAGTGCCGAAGCACACACAAAATCATACCCTTTGGGTCATGACGTACTTAAATGGAATACATCGTATCAGTATTTGGCTTTTCTGTCTCGTGGATAGACAGCATTGGAGTCTGAACTCTTCTGTTTAGCACTGTCCTACCATGAAACCTGTTTTTTTTTTCTTATTTGCGACTATCTTTTGTGTTGAATGAGCTTCCATTGTGATTACAGCTTAAGCAAGTGCACTGCATCTGTCAGTAGTTGCTTTTGTGATTTTTTTTGGTCCCCTCAGTTCTTCCTATCTATTATGTAATGGTACTGGTATCCTGAAAATGATCCCTGTTATTTGTCTAGCTGTTTTTGTTGTATCTGTTGGTTTTGCATCAAAAGACCAGTTAAAACAGTCTAGTGAACATTAAGAAATAAGGGAAAATACCTTCAGTTATTTTGGTTTCCAAGTGGCTGATGGCAATAAATTCCTGCCAGTGCCCTTTTCTCTAAATTGCAACCAGGACACAAAATTATTCCCCTTACTACCATTGACTGTTGAGCAAGTGAGGAGGAGAGACTTTCTGGTTACTGAGGAGACAGCTTTTCACTCTCTTTCCTCTGTTCTTGTAGAGGACCCTGGTCAACCATGCCATTGTATATAGATTTCATAGACATTAGGGCTGGAAGGGACCTCGGAAGATCATCGAGTCCAGCCCCCTGCCCAAAGGGCAGGAAGTCAGCTGGGGTCATGGGATCCCAGCAAGATGAGCATCCAGTTTCATTTTGAAGGTGTTCAATGAAGGCGCTTGAACCACCTCCGGTGGCAGGCTGTTCCAGACTTTGGGGGCTCGGACAGTAAAGAAATTCTTCCTTATGTCCAGCCTGAAACGATCTTGAAGTAGTTTGTGACCATTTGACCTCATCATCCCTTGGGGCGCTCTGGTGAACAAACGTTCCCCCAGATGCTGGTGGTCACCCCTGATAAACTTGTAGGTGGCCATCAGATCACCCCTGAGCCTGCGCTTTTTCAGGCTAAAGAGCCCCAGGGCTCTCAGCCTGTCATCGTAGGGTCTGCTTCCCTGACCTCTGATCATGCGTGTGGCTCTTCTCTGGACTCTCTCAAGCTTCTCCACATCCTTTTTGAATTGTGGAGCCCAAAACTGGACACAGTACTCCAGCTGCGGCCTCACTAAGGCCGAGTACAGGGGGAGAATGACGTCCCGGGATTTGCTTGAGAAGCATCTGTGGATGCAAGCCAGAGTTTTGGTCGCTTTACTAGCCGCCGCATCGCATTGCAGGCTCATGTTCATCTTGTGGTCAATGATGACCCCCAAGTCTCTTTCTTCCATAGTGCTAGCCAACATAGCACTGCCGAGCCTATAGGGATGCTGCGGGTTTTTTTTCCCAAGGTGGAGAACCTTGCATTTATCGGCATTGAACACCATCAGATTCTCGTCCGCCCCCTATACAGTATATAGTTTTTTTAAATCCCTTTTGAGTGTTTCTGATCTCTCTGCATATTTTATCTCATAGACTTACCAAGCAGAATGAAGATTGCTGTTATGACTGACATTCTTTGTCAGGAGAGAAAATGCAGAATGAGCCAGGCAGAGAATAGAAGCAGCAGTGATGTCTGGTGGCCGTGCCCTTTACTGCAGACAGGGCCCCACAGAAAAAAAAGTAATGGACAGGGTGCAGGGCTTGAAAAGCTGATAGCTACCAGTTCAAAGATTAAGCATACAAGATAGAGTGAAAAAAAAATCTGAGCCACAACATCCCTACATTACAAAAGTGGTGCTGCTTAAACCATAGCCCTGTGACTGGAATGCCACTAAGAGATTTTCTATTTAATGCATTTTAAATGTGACATTAGCACTAGATCAAGACACTGAGCAGAAAAAATGACTATTGTTTGATTATGTTAGTCAGTGATTTTGTTAATCTTCACTGAATAGTACATATGTCAAAAAGTATGGTCAATGATTTGTTCTGCTAATACCAATGATACCTGTTTAGCATACATTTACTAAATGTTGGTCAGTGAACCCTGCTCATAAAAGTGAGGGGTATCATATTTTCTTTTCTGATCTTGTTCCATCATTTACCTGTCTGAGTCATCTTTAGAGTCCTTTTCCTTTTCTCTCATCTTATGTTCCTTTACT